AATCTTATTAGCGTTCTCCAAAACGTTTATTGCTCTAAATATGTATAACCTCCTTCATACAAACGCTTAATTATTATCTTAAACATAATTATAAGACAAAACTAAAGACTGCCTCGTTGGCCGAGTGCGACTGCGGTAAAAGGTCTTGGATTCGATATCCGGGTCGGGCAAACTATTACTAGGAATTTAAAAATATCAATACTAGCACGGATTCTGGAGTCGTGCCCGGTATATAGCAATAGGCTCACCCCCTATTACATACTCAAAATATAAATTGTGAAAAGTGTGTGTTACATTGTATAATGTGCCTACCGCTTCCGGGATAAAAAGGCGTGACGTCATGTTATATGTTATTTATGAAAAATACTTGTTTGTGACCATCACCTGTCGGCGTTATTCGACAGCATTCCCTTTACACCTGTATATTATATAGTATTGTAGAAGCAAGCAACACTAGAGCTGACATTTTCAACCAAGAATACATCCCTATAATTTTCACAAAACCTTAGAGAATAAATCGCTGAGGCTAAAACTTCAGTCTGTTTTATAGACTCAAATGAGCTAGACAATTACTTTTTGTTGGACCTTTTCTGTCTACCAGCTAGACTGAATTCAGCCATTGTTTTATAGGTCGACATGAAGCGTCGATTTTAGTTTTAAAGCAATCAAAATGTTACTTTAGTTTTAATATTTTGTTGTATGCTTAATACAATTGAGATTAATTGGTTACTTTTATCCATCACCGTGCTGCTAAGTTTCATTTAGTCAGATCCTATTTAGTAGTTTCGCGTGAAAGAAAAACAAACATTCTAATAAACTTTGACATGCTTAATTGTTAGTAAAATAGGTTAAGGTTTGATACGCCATACATCTATACAGGTAAATAATATAGGAATGTCTGTTTGTAATATTAAAATAACCGCTTTATACTACATGCACATAAATATACATACGATACGTATATATCAAACTTTTTACAATTTTTGTTTCTTTGTCTGTCTGTCTGTTTCTTTGTTTGTACAGGTTAATCTCTGGAACGGCTGGACCGATTTTGACGAGACTTTTGTTGGCAGGTAGCTAATGTACTAAGGAGTGACATAAGCTACTTTTATTTTAGATACACGCAGACGTAGTTGCGGGTTCAATTAGTTTTAAATAAGAATGAATGTATGACCAAAGGCCTAGGTATCCTACTAATGTTATTAATGCCAAAGTTTGTACGTTTCTTTGTTACGTCACAACTGATGGAATTTGGCACAGGAGTAGATTATAGTCTGAATTAACTCATACGCCACTTTTTACCCCAAGGAGACGCAAACGAAGCCGCTGGCAAAAGCTAGTTGGGAGAGCCATGCTTCGGCACGAATGTGCCGGCTCGACCGGAGTGATACTACGGCCTCACAGAAATCCGACGTGAAGCAACGCTTGCGTTGTGTTTCGTCGTGTGAGTGAGGTTACCGGAGGCCCAATTACCCTCCCCTTCCCCAATTTCCTCAATCCCTGAATCCCCAACCCAACGATCCTCAAACTCCTAATACCCAAAAGGCCGATAACGCACTTTTAACGCCTCTGGGGGCTTAGACAAAGTAACAATTTAAAAACGATAACGAAGTTAGTTAAGACTAAAATGTATGGGATTGACATAGGCCGCGTTAAGTCACGTGGTCAATCGACATCGTTATCGCAATTTGGTAGACAATGTTATATTTCATAACGAAACTATAAAGTAACGAATCGTCATCGTGTTTATTCCATATAAATTCGTAGACAAGCAGACCTTTCAGTGTTCGCCAACGCCTCAATCGTGATCGCCATAAAAGATAACGAAACGAATGCTAAAACGTTGTAGTTATTGAAACAATATGGCCAAATTTAATTCGGCAGCAGATTTTTCACATTGATTGATCCTGTTAGTATTTATTTTGTGTTAGAGGCAATACACTAATACAGATCAAATAGATTAAAATATGCATTCTCTGCGTTTATTGTGGGCTACACACAATGAGACCGCCTGGGAGAGGCGCCAAAAACGGTTAAGACAGCGACGGTTCAATATAGGTACTTCATTGTTAAGATCGCGTCATTGTTTACATTACATACTCATGAATCAAACTTAGATTTACTTACGTTTCCATATACTCGAGCAGCGTTGCGAATTGTTCAGGACTTGCTCGCACTCTTGATTCCATGTTTTATCACTAAATATTAAAATAGATAAGAAATAGAGAGAGATCCATCTTCGTTTGAACACCAGTCACTTATAAAAATGAGTCTATTTTGATTATCATTAAGTTTTTGAAACGATCTAAAAGTAATAACACTCTATTCACTTACGACTGTAAAATTATCGTTTATATTTAACTTAAAAACAATTAAACGCAACACTCACTTTCTTATTAATAAAATTTTAAAACATCAATATCTCGCAGGTTTGATCCCATTTGAACTTTTTGACTGTCACTGACAGCTGGATTTTCGATACCATAACCAATATTTTTGTTTTTTGCCGAATAAAGAATTCGACACAACGATCACGACCATAGTGTTACATTGGCTAGGAAATGTTTATCGTTATCTCAGAGACGATGACGAATTTACTTTTCGTTTCGCTATTAAGCGATGTTACTTTGTCTAAGGACCCTGGTGTTCCAGGTGTCCATGGGCGACGCCAATTGCTTACCATCAGGTGATCCGTCTGCTCGTTTACCGGCTTATGCTATAAAAAAAATAGTTATAAATATGTAAACAAACACTATAAATAACATAACATACACCTACTAGAAGTTTACATAAGTACATTTTTTCTACAAAAACAAGAATGTACAGATGTGACCAAGTGCAAAAAACGTTGCATCTATTTTTAGTGCCGATAAAGTCAGTCATTAAAGTACACTTCAGTGCAAAATAACGGACCACAGTTTTTGCGTGAAATTATTTTTGCGTTGACCTAATTGGACTTACCGGGTTACTTGTAATTTTGGCCGTTTTACGACTTTGGATTAATTTGTTTTGGTTTAAAAAATGTGTTGACACCGTTATTTTTAAGCCACAGAAGATATTTTCAACAATATTTGTTTTCTACTAAATGTAACATAAGTCTTTATAATGAATGGGCTAATGTTAAATGAAATATAGGCCAATTTGGAGAATAAATTTAATATGAAAATATATATTACTTTATTCAGTTACAACATGACAAAACACAAAAGACGACAAGACACGGGTGGGAGATCGGTTTACAATATACGCAGCTGTAGCCACTGCCTCTGCCCAGAATGTGACCTGTAATTCAGCATTAATAATTAAGCATTTAGCACGCTCTATTAGAGTTCTATTTATTCTCTCACTGTGACCATTTTGTTCAGGAGCTAAGCATGTTTATCGAGTATTTTAATTAAATACAAATAATCAACTTAGGTATAATGTATTCAAATATATAAAAAGAAGAAAATATAATTATAAATATGAGAATATATTCGAGTTAGTCTCGAACAAAGCTCTAATTAACAACATTAAATGTAAATGAGACTGTATAATTATATTTCATAGACACCACAAAAAAAAAACAAAATGAAATTTCTATTTCAAATGAAAATTCCTTTTCATAATTAGACCAGTATTGAGGTCATCCTGGTATAATTAAATCTTTAATATAGACACGATGTTTCATTCAGTCAAACTTCGAAAACTAATCTTCAACTGCTAATTATATTATTATGAAACTACATAATTTGATTCGTCATTCGTTGTCTGTAAATGTACGTACACACAGCTACACATCGAGTTTTACATAACCAGTATAAACTGAACGTTAAATGTGCGGAAAGATGATGCGACGCGACACCAGGATAAACTGGTTTTGTATAGATTGATGTGTGGCCGTGTGTACATTGCAGAAAAATAATAATAGTCAAAGGTATGTCTTTGTCCATTCAGAGTCCATTCTCAGTCCATTAGAATGAAAGAAAGTTTTCATTAGTCAAAAAGGACATTTTATTTCTTTCCACAATTAGCAAATTTTATTAACTTGTGTCTAAAGATCATATTATAATTTAATGGCTCTGCTCCAACCCTGCAATTAACTTGTCATTTAAATGGACACTACATAACATGACATCACACCTGTAGGCAGAGGTGCACATTACGGCACCTAATACCACTGTACAATGTAACACCTACTATTCACTATTTATGCTATGAGTGCCATGTAATAGGGGGTGAGCCTATTGCCATATACCGGGCACAAATCCAGACTCCGTGTTATTACTGAGAATTTTTGAAAAACCAATAATATTTTGCCTGACCCGGGTATCGAACCCGAGACCCCTTGCCCGGCAGTCGCACTAGCAACCATTCGGCCAACGAGGCAGTCACTTTAGTACAAAGCATATTTATTTACTCATTTTTTTGCTTGGGACTGTACCACAAGATAAATATATACGTAGCGGTAAGAGTTGTGAGATACCTAATTCAATTTCATCCATAGTTATTCACGGCAAAACTTCACCCAACTCTTCAGTAATGAACATCTTCCAACTTATAATGAAAAACTTTAAATATAATATGTGTTTAATGCAATATAATAATAAGTTTAATATAATGTAATAACTTTAATATAATATAACTTTAAAAAGTGTGGGAGAGCCATGCTTCGGCATGAATGGGCCGGCTCGACCAGAGTAATACCACGGCCTCACAGAAAACCGACTTAAAGCAACGCTTGCGTTGTGTTTCATCGTGTGAGCGAGGTTACCGGAGGCCCAAGTACCCTCCCCTTCCCCAATCTCCGCAATTCCTGAATCCCCAACGATCCTCAAACTCCTAATCCCCAAAAGGCCGGTAACGCACTTGTAACGCCTCTGGTGTTCTAGGTGTCCATGGGCGACGCCGATTGCTTAAGTGATCCGTCTGCTCGTTTACCGGCTTATGCCATAAAAAATAAATAATAAATACCTAACAGGCTTTAATTCTTTACTTTATCTTCAATATCTTGTCACCAGATTCCACCAACCACGACGGCATATTGCCGGCTCTTCATCTCAAAGGACTTCCACATCTCCTCAGCGTCGGAATGTGGCTGCTCCGAGGCTCGCCACGTCTGCTGCTCGACCCTTCAACGAGATCCCAGGACCGATCGCCTTACCTATGCTGAGGCATTCGGCTCATGTATTGCCTAGAATTGGTAAGTAGTTACATTCTTTTTTAATGAGATGGGCTGGCAAACGAGCAGACGATTCACCTGATGGTAAGCAATCGGCGTCATCCATGGACTCCCACAACACCAAAGGAGTTACATATGTTTTGCACGCGTTTTGCGGGTTAGAGGGTGATTTGAGGAATGGGAATTAAAGATTGGGGAGATCAGGATAGGGAGGAATTGGTTCTCTGGTAGCTTCACTCACATGGCGATACACAACACAAGTGTTGTTTCACGTCGCGGAGAACCTAACGGGTAACCGGGGCTCCGGCTCGACGTGCAGGAGAAGGAACGGGGTGGTTTTTAGTCAGTAAGAGTCTGACACTCCCTTCCGCCTCACCCAGGCGGGAGCAGTCATTCGATGATTTTCCCCCCTTAAAAAAAAAAGTGTTGTTTCACGTCGGTTTTCTCTGAGACAGAGACATTCTCCTCCCAAATACAAATATGTGAACTAGTTATAAATAAAACAACTGTTCAAAATAATAACTACAAATTTATGAATCACCCACATTGTAGATTCGTAGAATTAGAATCTGGTCGCATTCTAAAACTCAGATAAGCTTTTGACTGGAATGCCCCTATGGCCGTATCTAGTTTACAACGTAAACATTACAGACAATTTAAACCAGATAAAATTACCAAATGTGGCCACAGTTATATACTCGAAAACCTAAAGAGATAAGACCAACTTTAATGCATTCCTTTATATGCTCGACGAAATCTAAAAACCCGTTCAAAAGCCTTTTCCCTTAAGAGTCATATAACATATATGAGAGACATATATGTTGCTTGCTTTATTAATTTTCATATTTCATGCATTAATACAAATGGCATGATAATAAGTACAGCAATTTTTAAGTTTATTGCAACAAGCGAGACAGATCAAAGGCTTACTTCTGTAATACATAGTTTGACGGAGAATACGAATATGTTCACTGTACATATTAGTATAACTCGGAGAGTGTGCGGGGGAATGGCACAACTTGAATCCCCCTAGTCCTTTCCATCATCGTACCACAAGATAATCGGCGAAGCGTCAACGATTCATGGTAGATGTCCCACCAGCACGCACGAAGCGCTTCGCATCAAGCTTCCTTGTGCGTACTGCTAAGGAGTGGAATTCTTTGCCAGAGTCTGTATTTCCTGAAGGGTGTCTTCAAGGCCCGAGTGAATAGCTTGCTTATGGGACAACGTGCTCATTGTAGGCCACATCATCGCTTACCACCAGGCGAGATAGTGGTCAAACGTCAGTCCCATCTAATGTATAAAAAAGAATGTGTACTTAGAATTTGTTTTACGTTTAAAATAAACGTAACAAGACCGCATTCGGCGCTCTGATTGGCCGGCTCTAATGAACCAACCAATCAGAACGATGAACGCGGTCTCATTCCGTTTACCTATAACGTGAAACTTGTACTAAGCCCCAGAAGTTAGTATGATTATGAGTCAGAAAAGATCAATTACACATTACGCAGTCAACAATACAATAATCAACATGGCGCGTGCAATAGAACACAGTATGTAATAATAGTTCAAAGTTCACGACTGTCAACTAGTATTAACTAGTTCAAGTGATAACTGTTCCCCTGTGCCGTTATATAATGATCCATATCCGTAGTACGGTTACAGGAACTAATGAAAATAACATACGTACTATAATTTTTTTTTTGTTTTGTAAGGGGGGAAAATCATGGAATGACTGCTCTCGCCTGGGTAAGGCGGGAGGGAGTGTCAGACTCTTACTGACTAAAAACCACCCCGTTCCTTCTCCTGCGCTTCGAGCCGGAGCCCCGGTAACGCGTTAGGTTCTCCGCGATACTATAAACATTAGGTTGTTTTTTTTTTTAGTATTCTCACAACAGTTTCACACTTGTATTTATTTAATACAATCATCAGAACACATGTTAGTCCTTATTAATTAACTCGTACCTAATTAAACAAACTATACATGTGGTAATAATATACCTAATTACCATGCAGTTGAGGTGACATTACCGTATAATTTGATGATTGACATTGACGCAGTGTTATTGTCCACAGACCACTCCTGCTTGCCTATATACGCATTCATGCATGCATATGCATTAAATCATGGGTAGATAAGTCCATCTAATGCTCGCTACACACCTTTTTTTTGTAAGTGAGGAAAATTATCGAATGACTTCTTCCGCCTGGGTAAGACGGGAGGGAGTGACCGACTCCTACTGACTAAAAACCACCCCGTTCCTACTCCTGCACTTCGAGCCCCGGCGACCCGTTAAGTCCTCCGCGGCTCCGTATCGGCATCAGCCCTATTGGGCCCCATCCGTGGTCTTCTTATGGCTCTTTAATCGCTACACACCTTAGAATTTAAATTGTGCAGTTTTATCGTAGGTCCATACAACCTACACACCTTAGGATTTATCTGTACAGTTGACATGTACTGGTAAATCTTAGGTCCATACAACCTACACACCTTAGGACTCATCTGTACAGTTGACATGTACTGGTAAATCTTAGGTCCATACAACCTACACACCTTAGGACTCATCTGTACAGTTGACATGTACTGGTAAATCTTAGGTCCATACAACCTACACACCTTAGGACTCATCTGTACAGTTGACATGTACTGGTAAATCTTAGGTCCATACAACCTACACACCTTAGGACTCATCTGTACAGTTGACATGTACTGGTAAATCTTAGGTCCATACAACCTACACACCTTAGGACTCATCTGTACAGTTGACATGTACTGGTAAATCTTAGGTCCATACAACCTACACCTTAGGACTCATCTGTACAGTTGACCTGTACTGGTAAATCTTAGGTCCATACAACCTACACACCTTAGGACTCATCTGTACAGTTGACCTGTACTGGTAAATATTAGGTCTATACAACCTACACACCGTAGCTGTGTAGGTTTGTCTGTACAGTCGAACTATGACTGTGAGGTGTGTAGCGTACATAAGTACATATAACATTGACACATAAACAAAAAGCAGATACCTAGATCCACCCCGAAATTATCTTTTACATAATATTATTTTAAAAAATCTACATTTTTATATATATATCAATGGATGTTCAAACACCCACATTTTAGGGTTTCATATACATATCAACGGTTGAAAGGCTAATGGATCTAAGCGACATTTTTTTGCGAAATTGAGTTAAATACATATTCAAAATCAGCGAATTTTCCTTCGCCGTGATGTAGGTATTTAAAAATATCACAAAAAATGTCGCTTAGATCTATTAGCCTTTCAACCGTCGAATGAAGGGTAAAACCAGACCTATTATTACTTAAATCCCAATCTGTCCATCTGTCTGTCTGTCACGAAATTACTTTAGTAAGCTATCATATCTTATCAAAACAAAACTAAAGATTATCCTCAAGACAAAATACAATTCTCCAAGAACTGGATACCAGTATCCCAAACACGTAACTGGTCCCATAACTTCAAGTTGGCTAAAAATAAACCAAGTTGCCAACCCGTTTTATGGGAAGCTAAATTCGCATCCTTTTACGGTGAGTCGGCGCTTGCGTCGGGAGCCAATGCGCCGGCGCCGACTGGCTTGCGTCCGATGACTAATAATACTGCATTTTTTTATGGCATAAACCGGTAAACGAGCAGACGGATCACCTGATGGTAAGCAATCGGCGTCGCCCATGGACACCTGGAATACCAGAGGCGTTACAAGTGCGTCACGGGCCTTTTGAGGATTAATAGTTTGAGGATCGTTAGGGATTCAGGGATTGGGAAGATTGAGGAAGGGGAGGGTAATTGGGCCTCCGGTAACCTCACTCACACGACGAAACACAACGCAAGTGTTGCTTCACGTCGGTTTTCTGTGAGGCCGTGGTATCACTCCGGTCGAGCCGGCCCATTCGTGCCGAAGCATGGCTCCCCCACACTTAGTAAAGTGTTAAGTCTTGAGTTGTTTTACACGGTGGCTGGGTACTCTGAATCGTATACAACTAAAGTTTTAGAAACAGAGACTAAAACATTCCTAGTTTACAAATATTAGTCGTAGTTCTAGTCGTAGCTAATGAAATTAAATGTGACTAATTTCTCCAGAGTACAGTAAAGACTTGAAAAGTTTAAAGTGCAGACACGAATTACAAGAACCTTTATTTAAGCTTATATTTATTTCAGTCGTACTAGTTAAAATAATATATCTCATCTCATTTCATCTCATCAACAGCCTATAAATGCACACTACTGAGCAAAGCCTCTTAATAAAAAAAATGTATCTAAATCGCAGGTGATCCGCCTGCTCGTTTACCGCTTATGCTATATAAAGAAACTTCAAATTGTCGGACGGACAGTTTAATTTTCGCCGTTCCTAAAGTGCCTAATCAAGGATTGATTTAAATAAATGCTTTGACTTTGACTTTGAACGCTGTTTTTAAATAGCATAGTTGTGAGCAAAAAACTCATAAAAACTTAAATAATCTCCTTGAGTGTCATCTTGTGTCCACTGCTGAGCAAAGCCTCTTCTCATACGGAGGTTTGACCATTAATCACCACGCTTGCTCATTGCAGGTTGGCGATTTCAAACTTATAATTAGAAATTATAAGTCCAGGTTTCCTCCTGTTTTCCTTCACCGTTTGTCAGTGGTGTTTAAATAATCTTAGAAAGTACATATAACTTGGAAAAAGTCACATTGGTACTTGCCGTTGGTAGGTTTCGAACTGGTACCCTCATGCATGAGAAGCAGGTGTCTTAGCGTCCGGTTCACCTCGACACCACTTAAATAATGATACGGGCATATACCAAGTCATAAAGAAAACCTAACAAAAAATAATCTCAAGTTTGTATTTATCTTTTTCTCCCAAAGATTTAGCAGCTGTGCGAGTTTCTCGTTTATCTAGATATTCTATATATTGTACTTTACGTGTTTCTTCGGATTTATGTAACTTTATCGAGCCTAAATACCGATAAATCTAAGGTGCCAGACCCAGACGTACTTTCCCTTCTTCCAAATATAGACTTAGGCCTACTTTCATTTCCAGTTCATATCGTTTACGCTGTACTGTTTCATACTAGAGTTGTTGTTCTAGGTAAATATTTGTAGGTACCTTATTTATTATCAGTACTTAAATATATATAACTAGTAATAATATATTGAATGTCTCAGTTAGAAACAATAAGAATCTATTTGTCTATTACAAAACTATTGTTGAACACGTAACTGATCTAGGCATCCAGCGATGGCTATTTTGGTCTTCCATAAAGAACCCATTATTATGAGAATTCTTAAGTGTGGGAGAGCCATGCTTCGGCACGAATGGGCCGGCTCGACCGGAATGATACCACGGCCTCACAACCGCACAGAAAACCGACGTGAAACAACGCTTGCGTTGTTGTTGTCCATGTGAGTGAGGTTACCAGAGGCTCAATTACCCCCTCCCCCTTTCCCCAATCTCCCTAATTCTTGAATCCCCAACAATCATCAAATTCCAAATCCCAAAAGGTCGGTAACACACTTGTAACCCCTCTTGTGTTCCAGATGTCCATGGGTGACTCTGATTGCTTACCATCAGGTGATCTGTCTGATCGTTTACCGGCTTATTCCAAAAATAAAATCCTGGATGATTTTTGACCATCAATAAAAACGATCATAGTGAACTTTCACGGTGAACTTTCCTAACAAAACATTTTCAAATTAATACAGTCGTTCTATTAGGTGCGTACAAATACAAACACATCAATGATTCATTACTATTTAATGTATTCTTATTTTTTATTGTTCGATATTTAAATCGGATTCTTTGTTTTAGTGCCTTATAGAAGGCCAGTTTCAAACAGATGCGGCTGAATGCTTGAATATTTTAAATGACGCCACTGTCTATCAAAAACAGAATGCAAAATAGTGACTTAGCAAATCTGCACCTTATGTAATATAAAGCAGGGTGTATTTTCTTCTTGACAGACCTCATGATATGGTAATAACAACTTTATTTAATAGTAACAGAGTATATTCTCCTCCCACAGGTAGTTACCACCATACTGTTGGACTGGGTTTGCTGGAAGGTCTTCGCGATAAGTATGGGGACCTGGTACGGCTGGCGAAGGCATCCAGGTCTAGGCCGGTTCTGTACGTCTTCGATCCTGAGATGATGAGAGAGGTAGGTTGTTATATTTTGTAAATTAATTATATATGACAGGTCCCGAAGTAAAATAGTTGTCTTGGTAATATAACAATTTCGCTGAAGTATGTGCGAAGCGAACAGTGCCAAGAAATTTACGTCTAGTGTTTCATATGCGTATTTGTTTAATAAAAAAAGTAATTATTTTTTTTTACTTTTGTAGTCCTTATGGCAAGTTGTTTTGCCGCTGGGCGAAAACGAAATAGTTTATCATTCATTTGTTCATTCATTTTTAATGACTTCATAGAATAAGTTTGTCATAACATAATAACATAACATCGCGCCTTTTTATCCCCGAAGGGGTAGGCAGAGGTGTACATTTCGGCACTTAATATAATAAGTTTGTCAAATAAAATTAACCCTTAAAGTTATCTATTAGCCAAGTGTATTTGAATTTAAACATAATACATAATGCCTTTAGTAGATATGAACAAATCATAAATATTAAAACGCAATAAATATTAGTCATCATCTAAAAAAAATTCAACATCAATAAAATCGCCGAACCAGAAATCGATACGTTTTTTTTATGGTATAAGCCGGTAAACGATCAGACGGATCACTCGATCACGCAATCGGCGTCGCCCATGGACACCCGGTACACCAGAGCCGTTACAAGTGCGTTACCGGCCTTTTGGGGATTAGGAATTTTAGGATAGTTGTACCTCTAGATTCACAGATTGAGGAGATTGGGGAAAGAGGGAAGTTTAATTGGCCCTAAAAATACTTCAGAAATTCAGATATTGAACAGGCAATATAAATATTAGTCTTCATTTTACAGCCTCAATGGACTTTGCACACATAGGAAAACAAACAAACATTAACTACGTTATTTCCTGCACCTACTTCTATCGATTTATTATACAGTATGCGTACAACTCAGTAGATGTAAACATGGTTACTTAATATATGCGTACTAGGTACTCAATAGGTAAAAACATAGAACAGAATAATCATTATTTATTTCCTCAGAATGCTGATATTTACAATAAGGTGATAACATAACACATAACATAACATTATCTCCGAGGTGGTAGGCAGAGGTGCACTTAATGCCACTGTACAATGTAACACCCACTTTTCACTATTTATGTTATAAGTCCCATGTAATAGGGGGTGAGACTCCGTACTACTATTGAGAATGTTTTAAAAAACCCAGTAGTACGTTGCCCGACCCAGGAATTGAACCCAAGACCCCTTTGCCAGCAGTCGCACTTGCGCACACATCTATATAAACATAGCAGGTACAAGCATGCCTTAAACACATAACTACGCAGTTTTAAACTACTTATATTGACCACGTGACTTCAATAAACTTACATAACATAATAAATTAGTATTTGATGTCTAGATTTTGATGCCTTGGTGGTGTACGGTGGCCAGCGAGTCATCTTAACCTTTTGCCTTTGTCTATTGCATCTTCTTATTGTATTGACATAAAAGCGAAAATCCAATGAATAAATATGACAGATTTTTTTTAAGGAGGGAAAGTCATCGAATGACTGCTCCCGCCTGGATGAGGCGGGAGGGAGTGTCAGACTCTTACTGACTAAAAACCACCCTGTTGCTACTCCTGCCCTTCGAGCTGGAGCCCCGGCAACCCGTTAAGTCCTCCGCGGCAAATTTGACAAATTGGAGTAGTTTTGCCTACTGGCCTATACATTCAAAATTTTAGACCTATCTTTTGTCAATATGTAGGTAACTTGGATGCCTTCAAGGCCCGAGTGAATAAATTGCTCTTTGGAAGGCGTTCTCTATCATTGACTGCATCAGTGCTGCTGCTATGAAGAATAAAAATAACATGATAAGAGACACATTTACAAGAGTTATCCCCTATTCGATGCCAATTCTACATTTACCTATATCAAAATAGGTCTGGAAGTGTCGCGGAGAACCTAACGGGTTACCCGGGCTCCGGCTCGAAGTGCAGGAGTAGGAACGGGGTGGTTTTTAGTCAGTAAGAGTCTGACACTCCCTCCCACCTCACCCATGCGGGAGCAGTCACTCGACGATTCTCCCCTCTTAAAAAAAAATCTGGAAGACATCGGGAGAGTCCTATGTTCAGCAGTGGATATTTTGTGGCTGATTATGATGATGATCAACTGAAAACTAATGATTTTGCTCAACCAAGGTGCTGGTATTAATCACTTCGATCCTGCAATTTGCTTAAAAACTCCAAGAAAATAGATGTAAATATGCTAAAATACACTACAACGTGTTTTAAGCTGTCATGTTTGGACCACGTGAACTTTAGTCCGGTATTTAAATTAGGTGTTTTAATCATAATTATTAAGTTTAACGATATCGTACTATAATTAGATATACTTGCGTAAAACTGGATATTCCTGTTATATGAAAATATTTGACCTGCAGACTACTTTTTATATGTTATGTAAATACAAATTTGTTAGGTATATCTTTATCGGTTAGATTGATAAATTTAAAAGTAAATCGAATAAAATGTCCTCCAAAAAACTAATCTAACATCTATTTAGTATTCACAGACAACGAAGCCGACTGTTGAATGCGAAAATTTAAATATAAATCACGTACCGAAATCGCATATGTTATTTTAATATGGTAGTACTTATTGCACTAAATTGATACTTACTCAGTTTGATAGAACTATAAGTATAGAACTCTTGTATTTAATTAAAGTCAAAACATTTATTTCAACTAATCTTTAATACTTAGATTGCCAATGAAGGCAAATAAAACCCCCGCTAATGTTGCGTTGGTCACCGGTGACTCCCTTGGCGGTTAACGTGTTAATTAGGCATTTTTGAAACGTCAAAATGAATTATCCGTCAGTGTGTCTTTCAGTGAAGCTGAGCTCGTTGCAAAGTGTAGTTTCGAAGAGGGAGTTTAAAAAGGAGAATAAACAGAAGACCAACATTTTTGTATTTACAGATTTCCTTTTCACTCTCCCTCCACACATGAACAGCCTAATACTTTTTTTTAAACTTTGCCCCACACTAGGATTTTCTCCTGTGTCGTTTACAAACATACAAATTCACATACACAATGACACCCAGACCCGAAACAACAATTTGTGAATCACACAAAGTGTAGTTCTATACGGGAATCGAACCCGCGACACGTTGCACGGCAGCCGGTTGCCCAGCCACCGCACCAACAGTGCAGACATTGCAGTTCAAGTCGCAAATAAAAAAAATTGTTTTCTTCTAAAACATCGACCCATAGAGCATTTTGTGCAAAGAACTAAACATGATGCATTAATTGATTCATCTCTCTTTTCATTTACCTGTTCATAAAACTTAATTTCACTGCAGTAATAACTACAAGTAAATGCAATAACGATACTTTCTATTAAGTAAACTAAAGTTTGAAAGTTAAAAAAATATCTCGTCTTGTTACAGAAGCATATCCTAGCTAAACTCGTTTCGAGGTCACTTACTGAACGGTACACAGTAATGTATTCACTTTCAAAATTACTCACGTGACGAGTAAGTGACTGAGACATGTCTATGTGTGAATTTACGATGTACTAAATAGATTTGCGAAACTTATTGTTTAGATTTATCTCCTAAAATGCTGTAGAGACAAAGTTTTAAAAATTATCAGGTTGAACGGTATTAAAATGAATTTAATGAGTTTTCTGGACCAATTATATGTAACTTATGTATAAAAATTTACTATATATTTTAAAATATCAATAACCTTATAATTACATCCCCTGGCATCACCATCAACAGTCTATAAGTGCCCACTGCTGAGCAAAGCCTCTTCATACACGGAGAAGGTTTGAGCATTAATCACCATATGCTTGCTCATTGCAGGTTGGCGATTTCGAATTTATAAGCCCAGGTTTCCTCATGATGTTTTCCTTCACCATTTGTCAGTGGTGTCTAAATAATCTTTGAAAGTACATATAATTCAGAAAAAGTCACATTGGTACTTGCTGTCGGTTTTGAACATCGACATCGATTACATTCAATTAACTAGAATTAATTAAAGACTACTTACATTTCAAGACGGACTGGATCAAACCAATCTTTGAATCAACCAATGATACATCCCACACGTTCACCTTTTAAGACACGCTTCCAAATTGAGCCATCTATTTGTAGGCACGATCCAATACGTATCTTTCAGAGCTCTCCAAATGTATTAAAGTGAACTCATGTGCTTCAATCGAATACCACTTTAACTAATAGATCGTTGGGACTTAAATGTAGAAGGCTGTAAGAAAGTTTAACTTAAATTAAGGATGCTTAGACACTTTTGGTACCGCTTCAGTGAAGTTACTAAAGTGATTGGAGTTTTCAGTTGGATATGTTCTTCTATATTTATATCTATCTTCTATACATATAATAAAATTGTAGAAAAGTGCTGTCTGTACATTGAAAATAAAAATAAAAAAAATAGCAGGGGTTATTGTTATGTCGATGTCGAACCCAAAAATGTAATTAACTTTTTTTTGTCTGTTTGTCTGTTTGTCTGTTCACGATAATCTCAGAAACGGCTGATCCGAGTTGGATGCGGTTTTCACGAATATATTGTGGTATGCTTCAGTTATGCTTTAGTGTTTGTTTCATGTCAATCGGTTCATAAATAAAAAAGTTATGTCAAATTAAAGAATCACGTCGTGAGTATAGAGGTATATTAAAAACAAAAACGCTGCTCATAGTCACTATTCCACGCGAACGAAGTCGCGGGCACAGCTAGTTTATACAATAAGACTGCCTCATTGGCCGAGTGGTAGCAAGTGCGACTGCCGGGCAAGGGGTCTCGGGATCGATTCCCAGGTCGGCCAAACTATTACTGGGTTTAAAAAAATCTCAGTAGTAGCACAGAGTCTGGAATTGTGCTCGGTATATGGCAATAGGCTCACCTCCTATTACATGGAACTCATAACATAAATAGTGAAAAGTGGGTGTTACATTGTACAGTGACATAATGTTCACTTTTGCCTACCCCTTCGGGGATAAAAGGCGGGATGTTATGTTATGTATTTA